TTCCCACCAGGTACCCACTTACCAGGTACCCACAGCTGGGTTATATAGAGGCAATGTGAATAAACTCACTTGCCTGTATTCAGTGACTGCATATCGGTCTTGTTTTCAACCTAACGGTATTTCGCCCGTGCCTCCCGTGGAGGGCTCAGCTGACTGTGCATTCTGGCAAGAAAACTCATGTGTCATCCCCATTATCTGATTCATTCACCTGACCGTAACCTGGTCCGACTCATGTGCTACCTGAACTGCCATTGCCTCGTGGGTCAGCGGATTGATTTTGAACCGTGGCCTCGAATCTAGCCATGATGTTTTTAATTCAGTAATAGTAATAATAATACTGAAAAGTTATATATTGTGAAATCCAAACACAAAGTGGATGCTCAAACGCTCCAAAGTAAGGTTTCAGTTAATAGTACAGTGAAAGAGGTGCGTTGAAAGATGTGATTTGAACGCAATAAAAGATGGAAACAGTTTATAGCGATGAACAGTCTATTCCACAGTGATGGCGCGCAACCACTGAAAGAACACTCTCAATAAGAGGCCAAGGCAGTCTGTAAGAAGGAGTATGCAATAAGAATTGCTTCCAGATCGCAGTTGTCTGGGTGGTTGAAGGGGGTTAGCAATTCACTTATATGATTAGATATTCTGGTGCCATGCCATTTAGACTCTTGTATGTGATACAGAGTATGTTAAACAACTGTACCGGGTTGTTTGGAATCCGTGGCCGTAGGTAGATTCCAATGGAACGGGTGAATAGCCGAAGTAGTAGCCGAAGTAATAGGCTCAGATGACGAAAATTTAAAGCCTTTAGTACCATGCCAAGTGGAAAGGATTGTCGAGTGGAGACGAGATCGACAACTCCCTGACTCAGTGTTTGTCGTAGGCATAAAAAATTTAGGAGTCATAATGACTCTCTAATGTCATATGAGAAGGAGTCATGGACATGTTTTGGGAGTCAACGTCAGTTTGGAACTTTCATCAAGACATCAAATGTTGATGGTTTAATAACGACAAACAAAACAAAGTAAGACCAGTCAGGTATTTAAGCAGCGCCGAGCAGTCAAAAAAACAGTCATCGCATAGAAACCAAATTCAGATTATCTGAACTAAGGGCCCAGTAGCAGTTCGTCAACAATGACGCAAGCTTCTAAATCCACTGCCTACTTGAGATAATTGTATGTCAAACACGCAGGTTAATTGCGTCATGACAAACACTGCTGACTCCCTTATATCTATCCCCCTGAAGGTAGAAATTCAAATGCCGTTTCACAAGTGATGAATGGGGAAGAGATGTCTTGGGAGGTCCTTCTGCTTGACATAAAGGGCGACTAATAGGATCAGGTGGTCAGGCTCGCTGACTTGGTTAACACAATAAGTCATTGTATCCCAATTGCGTAGATCGATGCTCATGTGTTGAACACTTGATTGTCTGGTCCAGACTCGATTAATTACAGATGGAATATTGCCGAGTGAAACGGAAAACTTACCTAGCTCACTCAGTGGTTGATACTCGACTACCCATGTATAGACTAAAGAGTATCTCAGCTGCCTACGGGTATAGACACTAAACTATGGCTCCTGTCGGCGTCATACGAGTTACTACGGTCAGTGCCATTGGGCTTTGCGACTCCGACCCCACCATGCGGAAATAAACGAGTGCCTGCCAAGCGGGCTTACTCATAGTAGGGTCAAACGCAAGCGGTTGAACCCCCGGGACTGGCAGCAGGACCCCGTGTGGCTTGTGTCATGGGCATAAGCTGCCGGCGGTCGACCTTCGTCGACATAGTTTGTGTCAACCTGATGCGAGACATATCCCATTATGCCATGTCACCGATCAGCCGGACTATCCGTGGCTACGGGAGACGGCAGCTGGTGGACAGCTGTGAAGCCCGTGACTCCCGTAACCGGTACGGTTGACTGTGACGATCCCATACGTGTGGGCTGCAAGTGGTCCACGGGATCAGCCCCATTATGCTCGCGCGGCGCCAATCCACCTGTGTAGGAAAGGGTGGCCGGCTGAGAGGGCTTTTTTATGGGTTGTAACCGTTGCCGGTTGAAACCCTGGGACTGAAGGCAGGGCCCGTGCAGCTTGCACCATGGGCAAATCCTGCCTAATGTCAAACCGTTGACATAGTCCCTCCCTCTCGAAACCTTGGCTTTTCCCGCCGTCGGGATTGCTCATCTGCTTCAGTTCGCGGGTGATACCCCGGCTTTCCTGAGTAGAGCACCGCAACAAACTACGGGTATAGACTCTAGACCTTGGTCTGGACCGTAGTCTCTTGAGTCTGCACATGGCCGACAGGCTATCAGCCTTATTCAACTGCCTCTGCAGATATTAATTTTTAGCCTCATTTTTGATTGAATTTGCAAAAGAATAGATAAATGGAGGAATGAATGTCCCCCGTAAGGGATGAAAATAATGCTGTATATTGTCCATTTAATCCAATCATATTAAAAAATTCTTGACACAAAGAAAATTGGTTATAAAAAGAGTAGGGAGGACCTGTGAGGCAGGAGGCACATAGAAAATAGGGACACAAATTGGCCATGAATTTTTTACATAACAGACACGTGCCTGTGACATTATGATTTTTGGCGGGAAAATGAGATGAAAAGCAAGCAATATGCACAATATATAGAATGCGATTGTCCGAAACATCAACCAATGCGACACTACTGATGAGGAGTCTTGTAGTTCTTGAAAATTTGAAACACTTCCACTCTGTAAACACATCTTCTGTGTTGTCCATACAGAAAAATTATGAGAGGTTTCCAACAACTACGTTGTGACGTCACAGCTAAGGGGGATAACTGCATAACTTTTTAAAGCATACCACTAGGGATAGCTCTGACTTAGTTAATATTTTCATTTCCATTCTGTATGTGTCTGTGGAATCCACAGGAATAAGGCAATCATAATCAAGAGGGAATGTTTACGCCTATTATTCTACACACTTTTCTGAGACATGCTGCCGTAATGCCTTGTAACTACGTAAGGTGAAAAATGGCCGGAAAATTTATGCAAGTCCAAAGTCAATAAAAAATATAGCAAATAAATTCAATAGTCAATAATACGATTGTCCAATGACCAATGCGACAAAATTAACGTGTTTGAGTAGCTGAAGTAATGTTGAACTTGAAAAGTAAGCTGATACCCAGGGCAACACGTGTTCATTCCATGAGTATAGAGGAAAATATGAAGCCTTATCAGTTAACACTATCAGAAGAGCAAGTTAAGGGAGGTAATCACACAGGATCAGGTTTTATCTAGGTAAGGATTACTTCCCTTAGTAAGGGAGTTTGTAACACATCACCAAATGACAGAGGAAAAGGCTATCACAACCCAGAAGGAGTGTTTACGCCTATAATTGCTGCTTATCACAATCAACATGTTTTTTTTTCTATGTTTCCATAGACATGAATTAAAATGTTTCAGTTTACAAGCTGAGCAAGTTTTAACAATGAAATTAGTACAGTTAGAAATTCTGACAATACTAACGCTATGTGCACAGTGCAGCACAGCTGTTGAAACCACTTTTCACCCCAGCTGGGTTTCTTTAGTGAAGAGTTTGAACTCTGATTTCGCGGGATGTTTTTCATCGCGTTAGTTTTCAGGTTTATAAGTTGAATTTGCATTGTTGATAATTTGTTACTGTATCTGCAAAGTTGTGTTTTGCGTTGCATGTAAGCTTTAAGGTGGACAAAACATGCACTTCTTTGGCATGAGTCTAACATAAATAAAAAAGATTATTTCAAAACATGCAAATATATTTTCAGGATAGAACTTTTCTTTGTTCATTATTTTGTGGCTATTTCTCTTCATAATTATACAACGAAAGATGAAAAATATTGTTCATTTTCAGAATAAAAAGAATCAGAATAATTCTACAGAGTAGAGAACAACTGACTGACTGAGTTTGGTTTTACGCCGCTTTTAGCAATATTCCAGCAACATCACGGTGGGGGACACCAGAAATGGGCTTCACACGTGACAAGCCAAAGCTTTAACCAATAGGTTACCCCACCGCCCCTTGTTTGAACAAAGGAGAGCATGGCATGGTATAGTTTTTGTACAATTCTTGTAAAGTTTAATGTTCTTTCCGCACTAAATATTATTTTTGTTAATATAATTATGAAAACTTACAGAAAAAAGTAACTTTCAGCCTAAACTGCACGAACGTCATGCCACAGCTTACAGAAATCAGTGTCTCCATGCCATGAGTATGCTGGAGATTGGAATAGCCCAAATTTAAATGCCTAGACAATTTGATGTCCATTGAAACATGAACTTAAAGCTTGAGATTTGCCTCAGACCGGCCATTCACAAGTGACGTCACGTCAGCAAGACAACCACATTCGGCTGGCCCATCTAAGGAATCGATTCCAGACTGTCAGTTTGACTGTTGGACCATTTCTGGCTTAAATCATATCAGTTCCAGTACTGTATGGAACCAGTTGAGGGAGCACAACATCCGGACAAATGGCCTGCAATACGTCTAACGTCATGTCTTGCCTGGTGCAGACAGCATCTACGGTAAAGGAGACAAGCTTGGGATGGTGTTTTGTTCACTGATGACTCCAGATTTTATCTGGACAGCTCAGATGGCAGGGCAAGGGTGTGCAGACAGCGAGATGAACGGTATGATGATGAGTGCATTTTTCAACGTGGACAGCTTTCTTCAATTGCTTAGTGTCATCTATGCATCACGTCGTTGTCAAGCTGGCATCAACACAAATGGTGGACACACACAATACTGAATTTGTGAACTGACTTTTGACACCACATCTCTTCAAAGGCCTTGTGTCAATTCATACAGATTTCTATATTATCCTGTTAACAGTTAAACAGTGATTAAGGAAAACACCACAAATCATGTCATGCCATTTTTTAACCTAAAAAGATAACATGATTGGTGGTGTTATTTTACAGCATCAGGAAAGGCAGAAACACCATGCCCCACATCAACTGTTTACATATGCAAATTATGTCAACCTATTTATCACTCTTGTAAAATGGATTTATTTCAGTAGAATGTCAGTAGGTATAGTTAAGTATTCATCTTTGCTATAAGTTCTAGAATATTATGAAACCGGTTTCACTCCCATTGCCATTGCATCTTGCGGGAATAAAAACTTATTCCATTAAGAGTAATCTTGTAACAACTATAAGATCATTTGCATAGTTACCATCTTTAAAGAAAACCCGGAAGTGACGTATTGCTCAACTTCACACTGAACACAGCAGCAAATTGTATGGCACACTCTAAGGCTAAAAAATATTTTAGTGCATCTTAAAGTGGTTACATACCTGTACTACATGCAATACCATGATAATAGAGAGTAACTTCAATTTCTAGGTCAAATGAGGCAATTGAATGAGTAGCGACTAAATGCCACTCTATTTACGACAGAAATGAATATTGACAAAACTTTATGGATAACAACTTCTGTTGAACATAAAGAATTTCCTGGATTTTATTTTATTTTTATTCTTTGATGCAACGTTTCGGGGCGTGTTCCGGACCCATCATCAGGTAAAACTAATGAACAGTAACTGTACTGTACTGTATTGTACTGTTCATTAATTTGAAAAGTTGTATCAAACAGAATACAAAGAAGATGAAATCCAGGAAATTCTTGATGTCCATCAAATAGCATCTTCTAAAATGCCCATCAAGGATCTAACAACTTCTGTTATTTCGTGAGTGTGACTTTCGATAAGGATTTTTGCACCATTGTCAAGCAGGAATGTATCGGCGGAATCCATATCGAAACGTCACATTCATGAAATAAAAGAAGTCGTTATCCATAAAGTTTGGTCAATATTGTACTACATAACTTCTAAAATGCCACTCAAAGAAGCCAGAAATAAAGATTTAACATTAATCCCCATAGCGACAGCATTAACTACCACGGTAATAGCGGGTTTCATGATACCTATAACCTATGTAAAATTGAAGATCTAAGTTAATTATAGTGTGAAAACTACCACCTTAGGCGATATGACAAAAAATCAGGAAAAAAGTGATAACTTACTGAATGAGATGTGAAGTGGCCTATAGTTCGCTACCGACTCAAAAATCTGCACATGATACTTTGTGGACTGCACGGACAGATGTATCATGTAATGTGTACTAAAAAGTATATTTTTGCAATGGCCTTGCCTCGTACCTATAAATATTGACCCAGTGACCAAGATGTTTCATTCAAATCTGTACATACTGACATGCTGTTACCATCTGTCAACAGGTCATCCAGACAATGCAACATGTATCTGGAATTAAATAAGTAATCACATTTCACAATTGCCTCAAAGATTACCTTGACCCTTTGACAGACATGCCACCAACACTTGATGGGGTAGGATTACAAAAATACATGCAAAAATAAAAATCATGATGTAAAGATAACTATACTTCAGATAAGAAAGAAAGTGACATAATCATGGTGTGCTATATTATATTCACTTTCAACTGATCTTGGATAAAGCCTTTTCCAAAGTGTGTTCTTAATCAAGGGAAGGTAAATAAAAGTTAAAAGGTGGAAGCATTTCTACTTTTTTAGGAAAGTGCAACCAAAATGTTTCAGTGAAATTGACCTTGATTTCTTTCAAAGAATAATTTCTAATATCAGCAATCATTGTATGGTACAAATAATCACCAGCAGACCTTCTTGTCAGTCCTTGTCCTCAGGACTGCTAATGAGGCTTATATTTCAAACTAACTGAATTTACACATGAAAAACAATACCTGGGAAATGAAATTGTCACTCAGATGTTTCTCAGCCTTGACTTTCATAGCTGATGCACAGAGGTATTGAATTTTATTCAGGTGTACTAAATAGGAGCATTGGTGAGCTGATCTGCTTTCTCCCTTGTTCCTTGCATGGATGTATCATGTGTTTTAGTATGTTTCAATAAACATTCCTTTTTATTAAAAGACTCTTTGCACTGAAGACAAGAGTACCGTTTATTATCATAGATAAGCCGAATTTTGAGGACCAAACAAAGCAGTCTGTAGAAGGGGGTCGGCTTATCTGTGGGTTACGCTTTCATCAAACTTTTTTCTTCTTGATGTCGATGAAGATGTGTGCGCATATTTGCTCTTTGACTAAATGATTTACCACAAACAGTGCAGACATAAGGTTGCTCACCAGTGTGTATCTTCTTGTGCTCTCCTAAGCTACCTTTGTCACTAAATCCCTTGCTACACATATCACACTGGTATGGTCTGACACCAAGATGTCTTCTGACATGAGTCTCCATATTACTCTTCTGAGCAAATGATCTCCCACAAATGATGCACTGATGTGGTTTTTCCCCAGAATGTAAACGCATATGAACTTTCATGGTGATCTTCTGAACAAATGACTTCTCACAAACAGGACATTTAAAAGGCCTTACTAGATTGTGAATCCTCATGTGCCTGCCAAGGGTTCTTTCATTGCTGTAGAATTCATAACACACTGGACATTGAGTAGGCTTATGCTTTTCTTCCCCTTTGACTGAAAAGAAAATTGAAAATTTTACAATATATTGTACGTTTATGAATATTTATCCTATGCCACATTGTCAGTTTCATATTCTTTTATTGGTCTCCTTGTGGTAACAATGTCTAACAGTGTTAGGGCACATTGGAATTATGTTTGTGAGTTCAGTAATGATTAATATGAAACAAAATGTTTACCAAAACCTTAGTCACATTAAATCCTAAGAAGACATTCTACTTAAATTGCTTACAGTCTTATCAAACTAAATGTGAAATAAATACACACAAAAGGTCCATCTTCGGAAAAGATTATGGCACTAGTTTCCGAGTCTTGAGCAGCTTCATGTAACTTCAGTAGTTTCTGAGAATTATAAGTCTTGTCCCAATTCATACAATATGCACTGACTAAAATGACAACAGTGAAGGGCCATAGCTGTTAGTGTTCAACATATAAAAAAGCATCTACCAAGGGAAATAACTCTGGAAAACAGAATTCATTGCACCACTTTTTCTGAATTATTTTAGTTCCTGACAAGTGACAACAATGTGTAAAGTTTGAAACAAAACAAAAAAACAACTGTTTTGACAAGAAAGATATTCCCATGAAGAAGTGGGGAAACAGAAAGGCAGGACAGACAGGAGGACAGACAAACTCAGTTCCTATATCCCCATCTATGTTTGATGATAAAAAAAACCTCACACTGACACATTGCCATGGAGACCTCTGTTGCACTAGTTTTTCAACCAGCTCTTGAATTATGTGCACATATTGCTTCCCTGTCATCTGTCAATCATTCACTTTAATGAGGAACAATAAGACCTTAGTGACAGTGATGATGAAAGGGTGGGAGTTTTTTGTCTGAGATGAGACAATTCTCAATACATATACAATTTATTATAGCACGTTTGTTTTTCATAAAAACATATCCAAGGTGGGGCACAGATTCCAAGCTTGGTTGATATTATTGTGAGAAACCTATGAGGAAGCTGGACCAAGACAATAACTATTCATCACATTGTCCTGTGTACTTGACAATTGGTAGAATTACCCATTTACTTACTATAAGCTAGGGTAATGCACAGCTACTTAACAAAGAAATTAATGCATGAAAAAGGACTGGGTGAGGTCAGTTGTATCATGACTTCTTACCCACTTGAAGACAATGAATTCTGGTTTATGAGCTCTTGGACGCTTCATTAAGAGAATAAATCATGAATACAGGGACTGAGTGTGCCACAAGAAGAGGATTAGTTGGTAAGACATCAACAATTGACCACCCACCTCTGGAATATAAGGTTTTCTTAGTGGAGTTCTTTAAACTGTTGTTGCCCAAATGTGCCCTAGGGTGCAAGGGGAGTCTTCATCAAGACTATCAAACACAACTACAGTGATTGAGATTGCCATAACAAGAAGAGGCTCACAGCCGACAACACACCCATTCACTTAAGGTCTGGCATGTTGAGTTCTTCAAACTGTTCTATCCACATTAAGCTCCATGGCGCAAGAGCAGCCTGTTTGGCTTCCCTTTTTTCACATAAAATAGCACTGCGGTGAATGAATATGTACAGATTAAAAGAGGAAGCAACCTGACTAAATTCTAATCCTTGAAAAGAGCACAGTCTTGAGGATCTCCACTTTCATGTTTTGAAATCTAAGAATGTTAAACATGAAACTGTTTTTAAATTCTGGATGATGAGTGGTATCTTAAGCACACTCAGAGGATGAATACTTTCTGCCTAAGGACCAGATCCCAGGAAACAATTATAAGCAATGGTGATTTAGCAGTGGGGACTGTAGCTGTTGAATAGAGAGGTTATCTGGTCATAACCACCAACCCTGAAGACCTGTAGAGATAACATGCACCGTGGACTGTATATCATTGGAGGAAAGGTGACAATCTTGTGATACAAACATGTAGATGGGATCAGACGATCCTTTCTCAGTATCACATGATCCTCCCTATCATGTTAGGTACAACAGAGCGTCGTTAGCATGAAAGGAACAATTACATGTATTGTCAGTAATTGTCTCAGTAATTGTCTGTATTGTCAGATGATCCTTTCTCAGTATCACATGATCCTCCCTATCATGTTAGGTACAACAGAGCGTCGTTAGCATGAAAGGAACAATTACATGTATTGTCAGTAATTGTTAGTAAACTTACCTCTGGATTATGGTTGTCTTTTATTTGAGGGTACAACTTTGACATACACAAAAGGAAATGAAAATTTAAACAAAGTCATAGCTATCCTTAGTGGTATGCCTATGTAGTTAAGAGATAATCTCCCTTGGCTGTGACATCACAGCTCAGCTGTTTGAATACCCTCATGATTTTTCTGAACCATCTTCTGCAATACATAGCAGGGAGATAGGGTTTGAACTAGATCACATTATCTAGAGGTAAGTTAACTAAAATTACTAACAATAAATGTAACTGTTCCTAATTATGTCGTCGACGTTTGTAATACCAGAAGATGACGAGGCTCCCTTTAGAAGTCGGCACAAAATCTTGTCTATTCGTAACGAATGAGTGACTGACAAGGTTAGTCGTCGCTATGAGGATGGGCGGCCCAGAGCAGTTATCGCCAGATTCGCCCACACTGACGATGTGGAAAGAGTGTTTGGAGCAAAGAAGTATCTCAGGGCTAGAGATGTTCGGATTGCTGCAGATATGACAAGATGCCAGTGGACAGAGATGAACACTGCACGTAAGGATGGTATGGTCGTCGACTACAGTCGAGGCAAGCAAGCTGGTAGTTTAGGACGCTTCAGAGAGGCCAGGTGTCTATGAGTTCAGAGGTGAGAGCCAGCCTACAGTAGACTGGGATAGGAACCCATTTAGTTTTTGTTTGACCAGTTATGCGAGATCAAAGAATAGCAACACTCTACTAAATGACATAGAATTCATGGTTAGTGCGTCTTCACTCGTAGAAGGGACAGGCCAACATGACAAGGCGTTGCCTGCTAGGAACAGTGTGAGCCAGGATGGTGCGAGTGCTAATATCAGTGACCAGTTTGTACAAGATGTAGTCCATTCGACGTCATTTTAGACATATGTTTGGTTGCTCACGTACACAAAATCTAATAATTGCAACAAAACCAAATTTGTTTAGAAACATGGATTGCATCTGTTGATACTGATCAACTTGTGGACGATTTTGTTTGTTTACATTCGCTTGGAACGCTAATTGCCCGTTTTGGGAGATGTATGGGAGGTATATGTGTTATGATACGGAAAAGTATTTCTGACTATGTCCACAGAGTACCCTCCAATTATTCAAACTTTGTATTCCTAACATTAAACAAACAGTTATACAGACTTTCGCCAGATATTTTACTTGGAGGTGTATAAATTCATCTATGCACCAGCAACATGACCTGTGCGGTAATATATACTTCCCATAAAAAGTTTAGACTCACTTAAAACACTCACTATATGTTATGTATATATATACTGAACCACAAAAGAAACGTCAACTTGCAAAACCAAATGCAAAATTTTGTTTTTGCAAGGTGGTGTTTTTATTATGTTTGTACCATTTTCTTAACATGTTTTTCAATTCAAATTGACAGTTATTACCAACATCAGTGTGTTTTCTGATGAAAATGCATATCGACCAAATGCACCGAAAAAGGCAGACATGGTAAAAGGTTCAGTATGACATTCGTGAAAATGAAAATGCATGTGCATGTCATGACAACCCTACCAATGAAAGCGGGCCCCAAGCTCACCTGAAATCATTTTTGTTTTGACACAACCACCATGCCACGTCTTACGAGAGATCAGAGGAACCAAGTTGTGGGACGATTGCAAGTTGTCCAGACTGCATGAAGGGTAGCCAATCATTTTAATGTTCTTGTTAGGACAGCAGGAGTGGTTTCAGGTCACTAAGAACATTCAAGACCGTCAACGCAGTGGGCGACCTTCAGTAACATCACAACATCAAGAATGACAGGATGTGCGCAACCAATTGCAGGATCGCTTCCCCAGAGCGATGGAAACAGCAAACCAGACCATTTCTGACTCAAAACAGACCCATCAGTGCCGATACAGTGCGTCGACATTTGCGAGGAAGAAACCTCTGCTGTCACAGATCATATAGCTGTTATCTCATGAAAGCCGATATTGTGTTTTGACAGTCGATGGCAGAGTGAGAGTATGGCGAGGGCGTGGTGAAATGTTTTCCAATGAGTGTATTGTTGAAAGAGACTCGTGGGGTGGTCCAAGCATCATAGTGTGGGGTGCAATCAGTCTGAACAGTTAGTTGACACTGTGGTGTTCCAGAATCTTGGTCCAGGATGAGGAAATGACATGACAGATGCTCGCTATATTGATTAAATCATAAGACCCCACGTTGTACCACATTTTGGACGTTACAGAAATCACATCTTCCAGCAAGACAACGGTCGTGCCCACACTGCCAGAGCAACATTGGACTTTCTAAGACAACATGGCATCCAAACCCTACTATAGCCTGTACTCAGTCCGAATTTAAGTCCAGTAGAACACCTTTGGCACGAGATTCAAAGAAGATTGAATGGCCTCCAACCAAGGCCAATAACTGTGACAGGCATTTCGCAGAGTATGGACCCAAGTGCATATGGCCTTCATTGACCTGCTAATTCATTCCATGTACAGACAATGCAATGATTTCATCAATGCCCATAGAGGCCACACACGATACTGACTTTGGGGTATCTTAATGGTACCATTTTTGGTGATTTGTTTGTGTCAACTCTAAATGTGATTCCTGAAAATGTGTTAACCAGAAATGTGAAGTTTGAACTTAGTTCTCCTACTTGATTGTTAATTAGAGTGAATTTAAAGTGTGTGCTTTAAGAAACCCCTATCACTGCAACATTTCTTTTGTGGTTCAGTATATATGGTTACATCAAAGATTGATTTCTCCACTAACTTGGGGGAACCGACTGCAAACCTTACGCAGATGAATTGCAACAGGATCATGCATTAAATTTCTGAAAAGCATGTGCAAATATCGTGCATGTGAACAGCT